TCCACCCCTCCCCCCCCCGCGCGTTTCTCCCCCCCCAGCCCCTCTGCTGGTCGCCGCTGCTTCACTGGCTGCAACGGGTCTGGCTCTCAGCCAAACCAGTGATTTCAGCTCTTAGTGATTTCAACACTTTAGCCACCAGCTGGATTGGCAAAGGAATCCAGCTTCCACTGGGCTAGCAAAAGAACAGACTTCTCAGGGAGTCTACTTTAGGTCTGTCCTTAAAACAAAGGTGCTACGTCTACACTGACATGATTTTGCAGAAATACTTTTAACGGAAAAGTTTTTCCATTAAAAGGATTTCCGCAAAAGAGTGTCTAGATTGGCACGGATGCTTTTGCATAAAAGTATCCATGCCCAGTATAGACATGCTTTTGCACAAGAAAGCTCCAATGGCAATTTTGACCATCGGGCTTTCTTGCGCAAAAAATTAAGGTGCCTGTCTACACTGGCCCTCTTGCACAAGTATTCTTGCACAAGAGGACTTATCCCTGAGCAGGAGCGTCAAAGTATTTGCGCAAGAAGGACTGAATTCTTACATTAGAACATCAGCGCTCTTGCGCAAATTCAAGCGGCCAGTGTAGGCAGCTGGCAAGTTTTTGCACAAAATCTTGCCAGTTTAGATGCACCCAGGAGGAAAGAGGGTAGGTTAGGCCAGTCTTACAGCTCACACCTGGCAGGTGTGAAGCAGGCTAACTCAAGTCTTTTAACCCTTCCCCCCAGCTCAGTTCACTCAACTCTGGAAGGGGGGAGGCGTGTTCCTCCAAGACCTCTTAGCATGATGATGATGTCTCTCCTGCAAGCACTGGTGGCATGTTTGACAGTTCCCACATTTAGGGGTAGCATGATTAGTGACCCCCACAACAGTCCCAAATTATTTACAATTCCCCACATTCCATTCCAACACTGACCCTCCATGAGCCCTGGCTGAATGGGATTTCCATAGCCACACCTGGGATTCTCTCCTGAGCTGTATTTACATAGCAACAGTTAATAGTTAATTACCTTGCAAAGCTAAACAATTGTAGCTGGCACACCCACCCCTCCTTTTAGCTGGCTGATAGCAAGCAGCAGTTCAGCCCCTGCTTATATTCCTAGAGACGCCCCATTCTCCTGCCTGGGGGTGACCTTGTGTCCCCTGGGAGCACCAGTCCAGAACCCATCTGCAGTGGGGCAGACATAGATTTTGTCCCATCGTCACTGGCTCGGCCCCTCCGCATAGGACAAGGACACCCGCATTTCCTGCACCAGCCTAACCCCACGTGCCCCCATTCCACTGGAGAAGGCTACAGCGCAGGGGAGGGAGGGATTCCCATCGGGGTGGATGGGGGGGGTATGCATCCTAGGAGAGTGAGGGGTGGTGGTGAAGGCACACGGCCTATAAGGGCCCTGAAAAAAAAAAAGAAAGCCATGAGAAAAAGAAATGTAGCTGGCTCTGGGGAGGGGCACAGCCACTGTGTAACAGAGTAGCACAGGGGCTGAAGGAGAAGCCTAGCTCCTGGAAATCTTTGTGTGCCATGGGGGAGGCAAGATGGCGCCTCTTATAGGAGCTAGAACTGAACCTTGCACCTTGGACACCAGGGTTCACAGATGCCGAGAGACACTGGAACTCCAACAGCACAGCGCCCCCTGCTGTTAGAATACAGCATTGCCTCGGGGGTGAACCCCCTGCTATTTTCTGCAGCACAGCGCCCCCTAGTGCACGGGGACTAGCACTGATTGTAAGGGATGAGCACCCCATACGGTGCCCATGGGGCACCTGGCTTCCCCTGCAGGTCTCCCCGCCAGCCAGCAACCCGAGCAAACCCTGCCTGGTCTGAGGTCACCCCCACCGCTGTTAACCCCGCTCGCTGTGTGTCCCGCAGGTGCAGGCTCCGGACTTGCCCTCCCCAAGGACCTGTGACTGAAGAATGGAGCAATCCCAGTCCCTGGATGGTAGGAACCCACCCTCCGAGAAAAGCTTCCAGTTCCTGTTAGCGCCGGCAGAGTCCTTAACGAGGATCCTGCTAATTAACCTGCTGGGAATCCATGGACTGACCCACCCTCTGCGATTCCTCTGTCCTCTCCCCTCCTGCATTAAAGTATATTCTGTCCAGAAACAGAGGCCTGGTGTGTGAGGTTGATTGGGGGCAGTGTGTGTGTGTGTGTGTGTGTTGGGGGCTGGGAGTTCAGTACTGAGATAATGAGGGACCCAGGTGACTTGGGGGGAGGGGATAAATGGTCCTCTGGGATTTGAAGAGGCAAATGACAAAGCCCAGAGATGACCCTGTACATCCAGAGCGAGATCTGGAACCCAGGAGGCCAGGCTCTTAGCCCTCTGCCCCCCCAACCCTCTAAGCTGACCAACTAGACCCCGGTCACCTCTAGGAGCTGATGTATAACCCTGGCATCTTTATTACAGAACACATTGCTCTAACCCAGCGGTCACCAACCAGTCGATCGGGATCTACCGATAGATCTGGGAGCCACTGACAGGCGATCCTGACTGGTTTGTTTGGGAGGCTGTCAAGTGCTGGCACTTCATCTGCCCCTTCTACATTAGAATATCAGTTTATTTGTGCACGAACGCGCAGCCAGTGTAGACAGGCAGCAAGTTTTTACGCAAAAGCAACTGCTTTTGCACGAGATCCCGCCAGTGTAGACACAGCCTTGTAGTTTACTTTGCTCTGCCCATTTCACCATTTTCACTTGCTGTTTGTACTTAAACCCACATTTATTTACTAGCAAGCCCAGTGCAAATCATTGTTCCCTGGGAGAGCCATCAGTGTGTACATCCTCCTGTCATCATTAAAGGGGGCTTGCCGGGACGGGCTTTCAACGCGTGAAACTCTCCTGCAGTGAGAGACGGATTCCTCTGGGGCTCTGATCCCCTTTGGGGCAGGGGGTTCCTGGATGCTACGCGTAGAACTGCATTCTCCTCAGACCTGAAGAGAATCCGGGGATATGTAGACAGTGGGGCTATTTTGGGATACCGGAGATCCCCTGAAATAGCTACTCTGCGTCTTTTAAACACACCTATTATTTCAAAATATTTTTCGAAATAACGGGTGCTCTATTTCGGCATCCCAGTGACCCTCTTTGTATGAGGGTTAAGGGATGGCACGAAATAGCACATTATTTCAAAATTTGGCACCAAATTTCAAAATAAGCTGTTTTGAAATACAGGCAAAATAAGAGACACAATTTGGGTAGCGTAAATTGCATCTCTTATTTCGAGTTTAGGGCGCTGCGTAGATGCACTCTCAGTGTCTGAATTGCTCTTTGGGGGGACAGATGAGCTCAGCTCTGTGACTTGACTGGGGAGACCGAGACAATGTCGAGACCGCAGGAAGTAGGCCAGAAAAACTCTGACATGTCCAAGGAACACATCTGCTTTTCTGAAAAAAAAAAAAAAGGTTGGAAAAGCGGACACGTTTATTCGGCATCCCTGTAAACTTCATTTTACAGGGAGGAAGGAATGTCCTGAAAGAGGGGTTTTTTCCCCGCGTAGATGGGCCAAATTTGGGGAAAGCCTCTTTTAGAAGTAAATCGGAAAAAGACGCGCCATTTGCATACCGCAAACTGTTTTTCTTTTTCTGATTTATCTTTGTAGCGTAGACACAGCCCAGGAGATCTGATCCAGCAGGCACGGTGGTAAGGGGCCCCAGAGAGCAAAAAAGCGAATGTCAGTAGCTTTACTAGCGCATGGAGAAAGGGACTTCTGTGACGGCACCCTGTCACACCTTGCATGGCACTAGGGGGCGCTGTGCTGCAGGGAACCCTACGATAAATACCACCAAGACGCAGATTCCAATTTGGAAGTGCGGTGGGCGTTTATTTAGGCACAGCGGGGACTAGAAGCACAAGGAGGGGTCCGTCAAGCACGATCAGTTTTCTGGCCAGCTGGCTTGACAACCTGAACTGCCTTCTTGTGCGGGTCGTACCACATCACCCAGACACATCCCATCTGCTTGGATGATGAGCGTGGCTCTCTCCCAGAATTCGTCATCAATTCCTTGGGACTCGTCCTTCAGCTCCAAGGCTTTGCTAAAACAGGCCGCCAAACCTTCCTTCTTTCGTCATTCATTCTTTGGTACTGGCCCTCCAGCTCCAAGGCTTGGCTAAAACAGGCCGCCAAACCTTCCTTCATTAGGCCCAGCTGCTCCATCTCCATCTTCTTCTTCAGGATCTCTCGGAAGGATAATGTCAGGTCCCTTGTAACCAAGTGCTCCATGCCGAGACTGAAGATGCCTCCACCACGGGCAAAGGAATTCTCCCTGTCAGGAGCCCTGAAACAAACCCATCAATGTGACGGAAGAAGTGGCCCTAATCCTAAAAAAAAGGCAAGGGCAGGACTGGGCTGGGGGAGGAGGGGGAATGGAAATTTGGGAACATAAGAACGGCCACACTGGGTCAGGCCAAAGGCCCATCTGGCCCAGTGTCCTGTCTTACAACAATGGCCAATGCCAGGTGCCCCAGAGGGAGTGAACAGAACAGGGAATCATCAAGTGATCCCTCCCCTGTCGCCCGTTCCCAGCTTCCGACAGAGGCTAGTGACACCCTCCCTACCCATCCTGGTTAATAGCCATTGAAGGACCCTAACCTCCATGAACGTATCTAGCTATTTTTTGAACCCTGTTAAAGTCCAGGCCTTCACAACACCCTTGGGCGAGGAGTTCCGCAGGTTGACTGTGAAGAAAAATGTCCTTTTGTTTGTTTTAAACCTGCTACCTATCAAACTATCTGCAGAAGCTCCTTGCGCCTCCCAACAGACTTGATTGATTTATTCGCTAGAAGATTTCCCCAGAAGTGCTCAGTTAGGCTATGTCTACACTGCATTGTAAACTCGAAATAAGCGACCCAATTTGCATCGCTGAAGTTGCGTAGCTTATTCCGAGCTAAGGGTGCTGTGTAGACGCACCCTAAGGATACGTCTACAATGCAGCGTTATTTCAGAATAACTGGTGTTATTTCGAAATAACAAAGAGTGCATCTACACAGCAAGCCGTTAATTCAAACTAGTGTCCAACTGGAGGACATCTTACTCCGGCTCCTGTAACCCTCATTTCACAAGTAAGGGAAGCCGGAGGAGGAGTGTTCTCCCGTTGGCTTCCTGCTGTGTAGACGGCCCCAAAAGCTGAGTTCAGCCATTTCAACTTCGCAAATGACGTTGTGTCGCTTAATTCGACTTTAGCCCTGCTGTGTAGACATGCCCTTCGGTGCCACAGGGCGACTCCTCCTTGCTTCTAGCTATTTTGTTGTTGTTGTGCTCTCTCAAATATCTAGGAGGCAAGTTGCAAGCGTTTACCGGCAGATGGCTCCCTACTTCACAAAACCAGATGGGTTTCTGTTCTTCAGAGCTCTGGGGTGGGGTTGGGGAGGAGGAGGGTCAGTAGGCAGGCTGGCCCAGGGGGAGAGGAGGGGACTACCCCAGGCCTTTCTCACGGCAGCAACGCCCCCGAGGCTGGTCTCAACACAGGGGGAGAGGGAGTCCTGTCACCCCATGGTGCTGAAGGAGGAAGGCCTTGCACCACCTCCTCTGGGGCACACTGGGGGGATGATCCCCCTCCAAGTGCTACTCCAACTGGATGCAAGGGAAGGGGGAGGGGTGTTGCGATTATGGCTGGAGCTGAAGCAGGGGCCCCCTCCTCACTCCACCCTCTGATGACTTCCTGAGGTCTCTTCCAATCCTAATCTTCTATGATTGGAGGGCACAGAAAAAGGAGACAGGAGCAGAGGGGGCAGAATCCAGACCAGAGGAGGGGGGGGGGGGGGAGAACATAGGAGGGAAGCAGAAGGGTGTCGGGTGCAGGGTACAAACACACTTACCAGTTCTGCCACTGCAAGTGGGTCGGATCAGAGCAGCCTTGCAGGGAGAAATGAAACCAGATTTTCACTCGCTTAACTTTCGATTTCCTCTCTGTGACACGCCACAGTGGAAAGGAAAGGGAGGGGCGGAGAGTCCCCCAGACCTTAAAAGGATGACTCTCCTCCTCTGAAAGGACTCCTGGGTTCTCTCCCCAGCTCTGGGAAGGGAGCGGGGTCTAGTGGTTAGAGCAAGAGGGCATCAGGACTCCTGGGTTCTCTCCCCAGCTCTGGGAAGGGAGCGGGGTCTAGTGGTTAGAGCAGAACCAGGCCTCCTGGGTTCTGTTCCTTTTGGGAGGTGCTTTATCCCACACTGGGTGTTTGTGTTGGGCCTGGAGACCAGCTGGGAATGGCCGCGGGGTGAGTGTGGCTTAGTGGCACAGGTGACATTCTGTTTGTGGGAGGCATGAGTGGGGTGGATCCAGTTTGTAATGGTGTAACTGCCTCTCCCATTGGCATGGCCCAACCCCCAAGTTGGCAGACTCAGCAGGGCCCACCAAGGGCAGACCCGGCCCAAAAGCCCCAGCTCCCTTCTGTCCCCTTCAGGGGATCTCAGGAGATGCAAGGCTGAAGTTCACGGATGTCTGTCTAGGCTAGGTCAGCCCCTGATGCGAGGGCAGTCGTGTAACAGCCAGGCAAGTTCCTCTTCCCCACATAGCACCTCCTGCTGGTCCATCCCAACACTGCACCTGCAGGAATCCCTCTGCCTCCATCGTGAGGATGGGGCCTGTAGCAGGGCTTTATAAAATCATCGTCTCGAGCGCAGTGTTTCCCAATTTTATTTGGCCATGGAACCCTTTTTTAAAGAATTTTGCGGAACCTCTAATAAGAGGCTGACATATGGAGCTGAAAAAGTAGACCACAAAATAAGTAAGGATAATCATAAACAAAGGCTAAACAAGGCCATGAGATCAACATTTAGTTTAATTGCCCATATTTAAAAACATGATTTTTCTTTAAATCATAAAATGGGATTGTAATGGAATTTTCTCGCAGAATCCTTATTGTCACTTCACGGAACCCCGGGGTTCTGCGGAACACCGTTTGGGAAACGAAATACGGGCAGGAACCAAATCTTAATAACCGTCTCTGCATGTCAGCTTGGGTGTGTGCGTGGGTGACGCCCCTCGCCACCACATACCCTGTTTCTATCCTAGGGGGGTTCTTCTCCCCACACCCTCAGGAGTGGCCCAATTAGAGGCAAGCCAACAACTCAGGGCTCTCAACAACGACTTTATTATTAAAGAAATGGAAAAAATACTAAACAAACCCTAGATGGTAAATGGCTCTGCTCTCCGGCTTCCTTCTGGGGGAGAGTTTGCAACAAATTGCATGACACTAGAACCCCGAGGCTATGTCTACATGGCGGGGTTTTTCCAGGATACCAGAGATATCCTGGAAAACCCCTGCCGTGTCTGGGGAATGTGTTTCCGCTTATTTTGCAGAAGTGCAAATGCATTCTTTCGGTAGCCCTGTTTTCCTCATTCCATGAGGAAGAAAGGATCTTCCAAAAGAGGGGGATTTTCTGAACTTTGGCCCAGGGTAGAAAGGCCACATTTTGGAAAAACCTCTTCCGAAAAAAATCGGAAAAAGCTACACAAAATGCAGAAGTGTAGACCTAAACTGGGGGCGGAGGGGAATACAAATCCAAGTTCACTTTTAAAGTGGAGTAGTTCAACCTCATTAAACTCCTGTGTGGACACGCTTATGAAGTCGGAAAGTGGCTTCCATTCTGGCAAAGCTTAGAATCATAGAATCATAGAATCATAGGACTGGAAGGGACCTCGAGAGGTCATTGAGTCCAGCCCCCCGCCCTCAAGGCAGGACCAAGCTCCGTCTACACCATCCCTGACAGATGTCTATCTAACCTGTTCTTAAATATCTCCAGAGAGGGAGATTCCACCACCTCCCTTGGCAATTTATTCCAATATTTGACCACCCTGACAGGAATTTTTTCCTAATGTCCAATCTAAACCTCCCTTGCTGCACTTTAAGCCCATTACTCCTTGTCCTGAAGTGAATTAATCACCACCTGAATTCATTCCCCTCTCACGTGCTATGAAATGAAGGTGAGAGACAAGGTCAGGACCAATAGCCAGAAAGCATGTCTCTCTCACCGTCAAAAGGGGGGGTCCAATAGAAGATATGACCTGACCCCCCCACATACACACTCCTGGTGTCTCTCACATCCCGGACCCAACATGGCTACTACAAATGAGGAAACGAAAGTCCCATTCGATCCCTTTATATACGCAATGGTCCACTTGCCTGCTGCATTATTTCCCATGTGTTAACAATTTCCCTGTGACTTAAAGGGGGGGAAAACAAACCACCTTGGTTTGAAAACAATCCCAAGCTTTTTATTATCATTTGCCCAGGACAGTCGACCCTGACAAGACCCTTAAGCTACGTCTACACAGCAGAGATATTTCAGGATACCGAAGTGTCCCAAAATAGCCACCCTGCCTCTTAGAAACACGCCTGCTATTTTGAAATATTTCTCAAAATAACAGGCATGCTATTTCACCATCCCTGCAAACCTCCTTGCACGAGAGTTAAGGGATAGCTTGAAATAGCATGTTATTTCGAAATAGACTCGAAATAACCCACGCAGGTTGCATAGCACAAATTGCGTAGCTTATTTTGAATTTAGGGTGCTATGTAGACACACCCTTACAGGGAACGAGCTTTTAAAAAAAACCAATGTATCAAGTACAGGAATGTCATTGTCACAAAGGCTAGATACCAGAATGGTTCCTTTTTCCTGGGGCGTTCCGTTTGGAGCTGAGACATATTAATATCAATTGTTCTATACTCAATTGGCTTATACTATTAGCCGGTAGTAACCTATGTCCTGGCCAGATTTGATGTAAAACTTCTCCCTACTCACTTATCAAGGCAGTTATCAGATGAAGGTCGTGATCTGAGCGCCAAACATTTGCAAACGTACATCTCAAAAGGGGTTACGCATTTGAGGGATGGTCTGGCTCTTCGTCCATAGCTCTGATCCTACGTCTCGACACAGAGCTGAATTAACCTTTACTAGGCCATCGGGGCTTTTTTGCTGAAAACAAATCTCTGCTGTCTACACTGGCCCTTTTGCGCAAAAGTTTTTCGGAAAAAGACTTTTGCCCGAACGGGAGCAGCATCGTATTTCCGCAAAAGCACGGACAATCTTACATGAGATCGTCAGTGCTTTTGCGGAAATTCAAGCGGCCAGTGTAGACAGCTGGCAAGTTTTTCCGCAAAAGCAGATGATTTGCGGAAAAACTTGCCAGTCTAGACACAGCCACACAGTGCTGGTCCAATTAGGGTGACCAGACAGCAAGTGTGAAAAACCGGGACTTTTTTTTCTGAGGGGTGGGCTACAGCTGCATGTATAAGACAAAGCTCCTAATACCGGGACATCTGGTTACCCTAAAGCCGAGTGTGTTATAATTTATTCATATGACACCCCATCCAGCAGCTGCTACTCACTGAAAGAAATCAAACCTCCATGGATAATCAGATGCCCCCCATATACCCAGGGTTTTACCACCCCTGTAACCAGAGCCCGCTCATTTTCAGAGATCACGTCACAGGAATCCAGCTCTTCAAAGTGGATGGAGGAAGCACAGGCCTGTGGAAAGGGATGGACTGAAACCTAGTGGAGACAGAATTACAGGCCGTGGGGGAGGAGGGGGGCGGCGTCTCAGTTCTAAAGTTAGCAATGAGAGTATTGTAGGACCAATCCGTGCTGCGACTCATACGACCCCACAGCCCCTGCCCCAGTCTAAAAGAGACAAACAGAGAGAGGGGAAACTGAGGCAGAGGACCTGGGGGGGGGGGGGGATGGACTGAAACCTAGTGGAGACAGAATTACAGGCCGTGGGGGAGGAGGGGGGCGGCGTCTCAGTTCTAAAGTTAGCAATGAGAGTATTGTAGGACCAATCCGTGCTGCGACTCATACGACCCCACAGCCCCTGCCCCAGTCTAAAAGAGACAAACAGAGAGAGGGGAAACTGAGGCAGAGGACCTGGGGGGGGGGGGGGGGGAAGGCACAAGCCAGTCCCTGATCCACTAGGCCGCACCATTCTCTATTGCAACAAACCAAATACCCAAAGAAAGCAGAGTTCAGTGCTCACATTTCTAGGGGGACCGGATAGGGCAGCGTTAACCCCTTCTCTGCCAGCAGCATCTCGTTGACAGGGAGCAAGTCACAGCCACCTCCCGGTCTCTGATCCTTACCACCGCTTTTATCCTCCTGGGCTGCTTTTTTGGGGGTGAATGGAACATGGACAGTTTCGGACGGAACCCGGCCTGGTTTCAGGTCTCAGGACGGGGCATCCTCTCCCCGATTTCCTTCTCTGCTCCCCTCAGAGCCATCCCCGACGGGCTCCAGGGTCATCTCCACTTTCCTCCTTCTGCGGTGGCCTCCTGGCCCTTCTCACGCTCCAGCCGGTAGCACACCCCTCCGAGAGGTCCCTGCGTCTCCCCCGTGCATCAAGTTACCAGTTCTCAGTCCCCTGGTCCCCAAGAGTAAACCTGGCGGTGTCCCCATCTGATCCACCGGGTGACTGTTCATTCCTGGTCCCCCACTGTGCCCATCCACAAGGTGGGAGCTGTGAAATCAAAGCTTTACATCCAAATGTGGCGGCCGCTCATGCTTGGTTCAATGTCCCTGGTTCAATCCAGGAGTTTCAACCAGCTCCTGTCTCCTTCCTTCTCCCCCTTTCCCTCTTGACCACCTCAGGAAACATCCGAAGGGGCCGGGTCCAGCTTCCTTTCCCCCATTTCAGCCTCCGTCTCTCAAACTTGACTCGCAATATCGGCTCCAGTGAAAATCCTGGAGTCTGCTTTGAAATGATCCCTGACACAGCGGTTCTACTCATGGCTCGGACACAGGGGACCGTAGAAAATGTGGTGTTCTGGCTACTGGGGAATGGTATAAAGGCGACACTCAGGCGAAAGGGGAATGATATAAATGTGACACTTGGGCTAGGGGGAACCATATAAATGCAACGTTTCGGCCAATAGGGAACAGTATAAATGGGACACTTCGGCCAATGGAGAATCTTATAAAAGCAAAACTTGGGCTACAGGGGAAGGGTATCAATGGGACACCCAGGTTAATGGGATGCCTGTGATACTCGGGTTAATGGGTAGGGTTGCCAGGTGTCTGGTTTTGAACCGGACAGTCCGGTATTTGAGGGTTCTGTCTGGGAAACAAATTGAGAAAATACCGGACATATAAAATGTCCGGTATTTTCTAATTAGGAACGTTTATTATTATTATTAGAAGTATCAGTACGTAGTTGCGAGCTGCCTGGCTGGTCGACATGCTAATATGCGAGGGATGGGGCCGGGACAGGAGGGAATCCCCGGGTCCAGACTCGCTTGTGCTTCGCCGGGACCATGCGTGGGACGGGCAACGCCCCAGGATCTGTGTGTACCCGGGTCAGTCCTGCTCCCCGCCGGCTAAGACTCTCCCACCCCTCCTCCCTCCTCCAGT